ACTCCTCACGTAAATACATTTGTTAATATGTTTATACTTTAGGTTCTAGAATTTACCAGTTCTGCTTTGCATTTCTTATGTCTGGAAACTAATTTACCTAACTAGATAAAGATTGTCCTTGATGATGGGAATTGTGTCCTGTTACTGTCATACTCTCATGGATATTATACATTTTTAGTGATTTTTTTTTTTTTTAAGAAATTGGGTTTAGGCTGGGTGCAGTGTCTCACGCCTATAATCCCAGCACTTTGGGAGGCCAAGGCAGGTGGATTGCTTGAGGTCAGGGGTTTGAGACTAGCCTGGCCAACATGGTAAAACCCCATCTCTACTAAAAATACAAAAATTAGCTGAGCATGGTGGTGTGCGCCTGTAGTCCCAGCTACTAGGGTGGCTGAGGCATGAGGCTTGCTTGAACCTGGGGAGCCGAGGCTGCAGTGAGCCAAGATCACACCACTGCACTCCAGCCTGGGCGACAGGTGAGACTCTTGTCTAAGAATAAAAATTTAAAAAAAAGAAAAAAAATTGATTTTAATCCCTTGAAACAAACAGATAAAAGTGTATTTTCTTCAAAGGAAATGTTCTCCAGTGTGTGCAGTTGCACACACCTATGTTCTTAGCTACTCCAGAAGCTGAGATTAAGGCTGAGGTGGGAGGATTACTTGAGCACAGGAGCTTGATTCCAGCCTGGGCAACATAGCAATACCCTGTTTCTAAACAACAACAACAACAACAAACAAACAAACAAAAAGGGAAATGTCCTCCATGGGCTTGGGAGAACTTATTAGGACTTAAGTTTAAAGATCAAACACAACTTGAGAAACATCCCAGGCCGGGCGGGCGTGGTGGTTCACGCCTGTAATCCCAGTACTTTGGGAGACCAAGGTGGAAGGATCACTTGAGGCCAGGAGTTTGAGACCAGCCTAGGCAACATAGTAGACCCCATCTATAAAAACAAAATTTTTAGTAAGCCAGGTATGGTCATGCACACTTATAGTCCCAGTTACTTGGGAGTCTGAGGCAGCAGAATTACTTGAGTTCAGGAGTTCGAGGTTGCAGTGAGCCGTGATTGCCACTGCACTCCAGCCTACGCAACACAGTAAGATGCTGTCTCCCAAAAAAAGGGGTGGGGGAAATATCTCCTTCTTGTGTAGGTCTGGAAACAGACCATATGGAAGTGATGTCTAGCTCCTTAACAGTAGAGCGTATTTCTGCCAGTTTCGGACAAATTTTTTATAGAAGTAATCAATAAATTATTCAATGGCCAAGTATCTTAAGGTATTAAGACAGGGTCTAGCTATGTTTATGATTTCTTTACAGTGATTTAAGACTATATTCAAGGAGGAAAAAAGGTTTGCAGCATTCTGATATAATTTTAAAATGCAGTTTCAAGTATGACTTTGTTTTTACTCAAATGCATTGCCAAGTTGCAGAGCCTCCGGGTAGCACCTGGATTTTGCTTTACCATCCATGTTAAGGAACAGCTGTATGGTGTAAATTGAATTAGACCTATGCAGTTTTGTGTTTTTAAATTCTGTTAAATATTCTGTTCCATGCTTCCCTCCTACAAAAGAGACTTATTTTAAGTACTGAGAAGGCTGACCTTTGAGAAAGGTACAGAAAGTCATCTTAACTCTTCCTCAGCGCTGCTGTCAGCATTACTCTTGTTGGAGTACATCAGGGCAGTGACAGCCTCTGAAAACTCTCCCGGAGCATTACCTCTTTCTTAGAGGTGTTCTGGTAAACCGGTCAGCCACACATGAAATGAAAATCACCAGCTTTCTGTGATGAGTAATTTGGAATCCTACAATCAGAATTTTTGAGAGTCTGCAAACAACTTTATCAGCTGGGCCAGGAGGGAAAATTGAGACCTGTCAATCACAAGTGTATTTCTGAAATCTGTACACATCAGAATTTCCTAGTCCATTTCTTTATTCCCTTTGGTTAGCATTGCCATTTCAGGAGGCTATTTGAGACAACAGTACAGCTATTTCACTTTACCTTTGCATTTCTGAGTCCCTCAACCCTTGCCTCAAGCAGCAGCTCTGGAACGGGAGTCCAGAGACCTCTGTTCCATGTTCAGTGGTGCCCCTAATTAGCTGTGTGGACAAGAAGCAGAACTCCTTTGGGTCTCCGTGGCCTCACATGTCAGGAACTCAGTTATCTCTGAGCACCCTTTCACTCTGATTCTAATTTCTGCAAATATAGACAGCAAAGGTTTATGTCTATCTCATCATCTTTCCTGTTTTCTAAGAGTCATGAAGATTTTTTTTCATCACCTGCACATTTAGTTTCACCATTCCTAAGAGGCTGGCCTCCAACTTGGGTGTGCCACCACACAGGACAGCAGGTGCCTTAGTTGTGTGGTCTGAAATACCAGGTTAATGATTAGCTAGAAATTAATGTAAGCAGGAAATCCACAAAAGAAGATATCTAGATGATTAAGAAAGTTTATCATACTATAAAATAATCAATAAACATCATACTATAAAATGTTTCCTGCCCAGCATGATGGCTCACACCTGTAATCCCAACACTTTGGGACACCAAGACAGGAAAATCATTTGAGTGCAAGAGTTTGAGACCAGTCTGGACAATATAGCAAGACCCCACTTCTATGATTAAAAGATTTTTCCCCTCACTGGCAAAGAAATATAAATTATTCAGCAGTGAGATGCCATTTTCCATGTAGCAAGGAAGCCAGCCTAAGAGCAGCGCTCTCACATACTGCAGGAAGTAGCCTTGAAAAATCTTTCTGAAAAGCGTCTTGGCAATACATAGTGAGAGCCTTAAAAATACTCGTTTTTGGACACACTAATTGCACTGCTAAAAATCTATCCAAGGAAATAATCAGAAATGCAAACTTATGCACCACGATATTCGTGTGAGTGTCATTTTAAGTAGATAAAAATCTGGATACGACCTAAATGCCCCAAAATGCTGAGACAGGGTAAATCAAGTTTAATCCACCTACGTGGACCACACTTCTAAAACCCTTTACTATTAAATTACAAAAAATGTTTAGTAACATGGAGAAATTCATGTAAAGTAAGGAGAAATAGAAAAAGCAAGATACAGTTTGGTTATCTGTGTCTTTATGTATACATGCACATATATCACATACTCAAAGCAAGAGAAAAGACTAGGAAAACTTATGCCAACATGTTAACACTAGTTATCTCTGGGTGGTGAGCCCAGTGTACTTCTGATTTTTTGCAGTGATTATGTAACCTTATCATTTACAGTATGGTATACACTCTGAAGAAGGGAATGTGCTGAGCCTTCTGCCTTGACTGTGAGTGTGGGAGAGGCATCAGCTTTCGGCTTCCCTTCTTCTGGTGGTTAGCACCAGGATGAAAGAGAGGGGGACACAGCACAGCGTGGGAACTGTTGTGGCCCATCTCTGCTGAATGAGATCAGGAAGCCTTTTCCCTCCCTTTGTGGGAGACTGCTGTAAACAGGGAATCTTGTCACTCTTTGTTGGAGCTCTGTAATGCAACTTAGGTCCCCAAACTGAATGCAGTCAACAGAAAGTGATGGCTTTCAGAAGCCAGCCGCTGCTCAGGTGGCTCCCATCCGAAGGGCAGGCTGCCTGTTGACTATGGAGAGCTCAGCAGGCCCCCGTCCACAGAGCTTTCTCCTCCATTTCTCTGATCTTGCCAGAAACGGGGCTATTGGGAAAAGGAACAGGAAGGGAAGAAAGCTTTACCTGGGTGCTGCTGGATTAGGAAGCCCTCCTTCTGTGCTACTGTCTGGCTGCTAGGAAATGGAAATGGTGATATTGTAAGAATTATGTGACATGATGGCCCTAGGCACAGAACAACCCAGAAGAGGAAGGTAAACTTAGTCTGATTTAATGAGAAGTTCAATTTGGAGCGCATTTTCAGACCTACGGCCTTCAGAGATCTGCAGCCTGGTCGGCCACTGTCCCAGCAGGTCAGGAGAGTGGCAGCGGGCTCTCTGGGCCTCCACGAGTAGGTGGGGCTCTCATGTGTCCTGAGATTCTCTGCTCATGTTGTAATTAGCACATTCCTTGTATGCAGTGATTTTTTTAAGAGCACTTAAAATAGCCAGTCAATCAATGTTCTGAATTTCCTTGTTTATCCTAATAATTAGCAGCTCCCCTCCCTCCCTCCTTCCCTCCCTCCATGTCCTCAGTCCTTCCCTCTCTACTTTGCCTTTCCTCCCTCCCCTCTCCTGCCCTCCCCTCCCTTCTCCCCTCTCCTCCCTCCCTCCCTCCCTTTCTTCCTCCAAGTGAGACACATATGGCCTTCAGTGCCCAGCAGCTACCAGTTGCTGCAGTTTCTGAATTAGTGCAGTCTAAACTGATGAAGAAATCATGAAGCTCTCCCCCGAGTTTTCATCATTGTGCTTACATGTAGCTAGCTGTGCTTCAGTGCAAGCAAGCATGACCTACCTCCAAGGATGTACTGAAGGAGTAGGAAGAAAGCTGACTCAGGTAAACCTAGGGACTTCTTCAAGGCAGAGGCCCTGCCTCATACTCCCACGTTTGATGGTCCCTGAGTCAGAAGAGTTTGTTAGTGATTTAGAGTTGCAGATTTTCCACTGTCTTTTGAAGGCCCCTGCTGTGCATAGTCACTGTGATGAATGAATAACTCAGCTGCTCACACAAGTCTGTTCCCAAGTTACATCTGTTGAGTGAATGAATGAGTGAACAGAAGGGAAACACATTAGCCCAATTGTGAATCTGAATAACGAACTTGGCAATGTGATGTGACGTCTGCTCCGTCAGGCCTGGGTTCCAAGTCCAGCAGGGCCCTTGACGTCCTTTGTCCTTCATTCCCGTGCACCATTTGCCTCCATGTCACACTTGGTAGTCTTTATTGTAGTGTTGATGGTTATTTATGAGCATGTCTTGAGCTGCCTGTTCCTATTGTAAGCTCTCCAAGTAATTGCCCAGTACTGTGTACTCAATTGTGATGTAAATACATGTTGAATGAATAAACAAGTGTGACTCATTCAGAGCTAAACTACACATGAGAGTAGACAGGGCCAGCTTCAGCCAAGGAGTGAAAACCACTTTTTCCTTCTTGATGCATCCTACGTAGTGCCTGTAATTGTATCTGGCAGCTGTTACATTTTATGGTGTATTTAGGTAAGCTGCTTACCTGTCTTTCTCCTGTGAGGAGGAGAATGATTTTTTTTTTTAAGACAGGGCCTTGCTCTGTCTTCCACGCCCTGTGGCTCATTCCCTAGCTCCCTGGAAGAGTGGAGGGAGTGAGCAGGATTCTAGGAAAGGGCAGGCAGCGCCCCTTTCCCCACGGTGAAATGCCATGCGAGCGCTCATCAGGACATTCCCCTGCTCTCCTTCACTTGCTTCAGCTGCTTGGGATCTTTCAATGCACGCCTCCCTGCAAAAAGGTGGTGCCCCTAGCTGGAAAGTATGGCATCCAGTACCTGCCCCTTTACTCATCTCTTTCTTCCCTCCTCTCTTGCCTCTACTTTGTCCTACCCTCATTATCCCCACCCCTGCTGTTGGTAGGTTTATTTATTCATTCACTGAAACAAGCCTGATTGCATTTAAGCTTGATTGAGTTCACATTACTGAGCAATTATTAGGAACTGGGGACTGAGAGTGGCTTCAAGGATTTTCAAGGCCAGGAGCAGTGGCTCATGCCTGTAATCCCAGCACTTTGGGAGGCCAAGGCAGGATTGCTAGAGGTCAGGAGTTCAAGACCAGCCTAGGCAACATAGTGAGACCTCATCTCCACCAAAAATACAAAAAAGTTAGCTGGGTGTGGTAGTGCAAACCAACTGCTTGAGGGGCTGAGGTGGGAGTATCACTTGAGTCCAGGAGACTGAAGCTGCAGTGAGCTGTGATTGTGCCACTCCCCCACCCCAGCCTGGGTGACAGAGCAAGACCCTGTCTAAAAAAAAAAAAAAAAAATCATTCTCCTCCTCACAGGAGAAAGACAGGTAAGCAACTTACCTAAATACACCATAAAAATGTAACAGCTGCCAGGTACAATTACAGGCACTACACAGGATGCATCAAGGAGGAAAAAGTGACTAGTTCTAATTCTGACCAGAAGACACCTTCCCAGTGGAGATGGCATTTGAGGTGAGCCAGAAAGGAAGACTAGAGTTTTGATAACAGTTTGGGAAACTGCGTAAGGACATGGAAGCACATGTAGGCAACATTTGGGAGAGCAGAGGGAGTGGCAGGGGACTGGGAGAAGTCCTGGATGGCCATGTGGAGGAATCTGGACTGATGGGGAGGAGGAGCTCCTCAAATATGACTACACTTTTTTTCTTTTCTTTCCTTTCCTTTCCTTTTGTCTCTTTTCTTTCTTCCTTCCTTCCTTTTCCTCCCTCTCTCCCTTCCTTCCTTCCTTCCTCACTTCCTCAGAGTTTCGCTGTGTCACCCAGGCTGGAGTGCAGTGGCACAATCTCAACTCACTGGAACTTCTGCCTCCCGGGTTCAAGCAATTCCCTCCCTCAGCCTCCCGAGTAGCTGGGATTACAAGCATGCGCCACTACACCTGGGTAATCTTTATTTTTACTAAAGACAGAGTTTCACCATCTTCGCCAGGCTGGTCTTGAACTCCTGACCTCATGATCCACCTGCCTTAGCCTGCCAAAGTGCTGGATTACAGGTGTGAGCCACTGTGCCAGGCCTACACTCTTTCCTTTCCTCCCTCACAGCTCTGAGGCATTGTTGTCAGGCACTGATTTGGTTCAGTGATCGTAAACAGGCTGGCTCCCCAAGGGCAGGGATTGCTTTGCCCAACATTATATCCCTAGTGCCTAGCTCAGTGCCAGGCACATAGCAGGCACACAAGAAATGCTCACCTAAGAAATAAGTGATACATTTCACAACATAACTCTGTGCTTTCTGATAATATAGTACCAAGAATTCTGAGCACCAGGAGAATGTCACTGGATCTCCAGAAAATGAATGCTCCCACCTGGTGTCCTGAATATGAAATGCTTAGTGTGTTAACAGCAGATGTCTCCATGAATCGATGGGTGACATCTGGGTGGTTGTAGGTGAGGGCACTGGGGGTAGTTGGCCAGGTTTTGGCATCCCTGCTCTCAATGATCCATCTGAGATGGGCCCTGCTGCACTGCACCCCTGGGAGAAGACAGACAGTCCAGAAGAGCTTCACCTGTCCAGTCGCATTGTTGGGAACTTTCAGACAGTAGATGTCTTCGTGTAACTAGCAGGCCATGGTGTGGGTGCACTGCTGTGGGCCGGCCTGCCTGCCGGTTCTGGGGAAAGCCTCACATGTGCACATCCCCTGAGAGCCCTCACTCAGAAATGGTTAGAAGTGGGTTAGAAACATGCAAATGAAACGATGGTGTTAGCAGTCAGGCTATAGGGGTCCATAGTGAGGAGACAGTGCTCACGGTCTGCTAATTGGGCTGAATGCCAGTTACACGGGTGTGTTTTATCTTGTGAACATTCGTCATCATACCCCTAGGACTCACACTTTTCAATATGTGTGCTGTACTTTAACAGTTTACCTGAGAAGTTTTAAAAGATGAGGCCAGAGAAGTTAGAGCCATACATAAAATAGTCAGATTTTGGCAGGTTGCAATTCTGTCTGTTCTTGGAAGGTGGCAGTGTGGTGCCACTTGATAAAATGCAAGACCAGAGAACGGGATACCTTGGATTCCCAGCCCCCTCTTCAGGCTTAATGCTGCTTTTTTTTGAGAGAGAGAGTCTCACATTGTTGCCCAGGCTGGAGTGTAGTGGCATGATCTTGGCTCACTACAACCTCTGCCTCCCTCCCAGGCTCAAGCAACTCTCCCACATCAGCCTCCCAAGCAGCTGGGACTACAGGCGCACACTGCCACACTGGCCAACTTTTTGTATTTTAGTAGAGAGGGGGTTTCACCGTGTTGCCCAGGATGGTCTTGACATCATGACCTCATGATCTGCCCACCTCAGCTTCCCATAGTGCTAGGATTACAGGCGTGAGCCGCTGCACCCGGCCAGGCTGCTGATTTTAATCCTACCTGTCATTCCTTCCTAACTTTTGTCCTAAAAACACCTTTAGGAATTTCTCTTGAGCAACCAAAGCCATGTACTGGTGATGTTTGTGAAGAAGGTCACTGGAGCGCCAGGAAATGAGGGCTCCTGCCTGATGTCCTGAACGTGAAATACTTAACGTGTGTTATTAGTGAATCATTCTTTGAGTTTGGAATAAGTCCTGCTGAAATGCTTTACAACTGAATCAGGCAGATTCTTAAGACTAAACAACTGCAAATTTGCAATAATTTCACTATGAAGGTCAACCTGTTCTTATCCTCTTATGAGAAAAAGTTCATATGTCACTGTTTAAACAGTAAGATTATAACTAAAAATACTTTTTAAAAACAGGCACTATAGGCCGGGTGTGGTGGTTCAAGCCTGTAATCCCAGCACTTTGGGAGGCCGGGGCAGGTGGATCACCTGAGGTCAGGAGTTTGAGACCAGCCTGGTCTCAAATACGGGGGTCCATAGTGAGGAGGGTCCATATTTTCTCTACTACAAATACAAAAATTAGCTGGGCATGGTGGCAGGCACCTGTAATCCCAGCTACTCGGGAGGCTGAGGCAGGAGAATTGCTTGAACCCAGGAGGCAGAAGTTGCAGTGAGTCGAGATCATGCCACTGCACCCCAGCCTGGGTGGCAGAGCAAGACTCCATCTTAAAAAAAAACACACAGGCCGGGCGCGGTGGCTCAAGCCTGTAATCCCAGCACTTTGGGAGGCCAAGGCGGGTGGATCACGAGGTCAAGAGATCGAGACCATCCTGGTCAATATGGTGAAATCCCGTCTCTACTAAAAATACAAAAAATTAGCCGGGCATGGTGGCGCATGCCTGTAATCCCAGCTACTCAGGAGGCTGAGGCAGGAGAACTGCCTGAACCCAGGAGGCAGAGGTTGCGGTGAGCCGAGATCGCACCATTGCACTCCATCCTGGGTAACAACAGTGAAACTCCGTCTCAAGAAAACACACACACACACACACACACACACACACAAAATAAAAATTAGGCACTATAAATAAGTTATAATCCATTCATATTGCCACTAGGTAACAGTTTAAAAAGTGAGATCTATATGAACTGCTATGGAGAAATCCATTCATATCATTTACTGAAATATCATAAAATATACATAAGGTATATTTAAATCCCAAAAAATCTATAAAACCATGGGTGGGGAGGTATATAGTTATGTATATAAAGGCATTGAAAAAAGTCTTCACTCTTGCAGGGATATATACCAAACTATTAATAAGAACTTCCTCCTGAAAGGAACATAGGCCTAGAAAGGAGTGGTAGTGTTTGGATTTGAACAGAAGTGTTATATTCATGTATGACTTGTATACTTTAAAACTTTTTTTTAGGCTGGGCTGGGTGGCTCACACCTGTGATCCCAGCACTTAGGGAGGTCAAGGTAGGAGGATCAACTGAGGATGGTAAAACCCCATCTCTACTAAAAATACAAAAATTAGCCAGGCATAAAGGTAGGCACCTGTAATCCCAGCTACTTGGGAGGCTGAGGCAGGAGAATCGCTTGTACCTTGTACCAGGAGAAACTCCACCTCTCTAAAGCAATTCTCATGCTTCAGCCTCCCAAGTAGCTGGGATTACAGGCAGCTGCCAGCACGCCCAGCTAATTTTTTTGTATTCTTAGTGGAGATGGGGTTTCACCGTGTTAGCCAGGCTGGTCTCAGACTCCTGACCTCAGGTGATCTGCCTGCCTGTTCCTCCCAAAGTGCTGGAAATACAGGCATGAGTCACTGCACCTGGCCTGAATTTATTTTCTTATTGCTTATTTCTAAGGAGCCATTTGTTTAAGCTTGGTTTATAAGTGGCCTTGGTCAGCCCACCTGCTTCTATGAGGGGCAGCTACTTCTGCCCATTCGAGATAAGGTCGATGTTGCTGTTTTCTCGATGTTTCATGTCCCACTCCTCCTCTTTTCCTGTCATCTTTCCTCAGGGAGCCTTTTCATAAGCTGCTGGCCCAGGGCCTTATCAAGGGGCAGACATTCCGCCTACCGTCTGGACAGTGTCTACAGAGAGAGGAAGTGGATCTCACAGGTAAGAATGGCCTGTCCGATCCCATCCAGGTACTCCCAGAGAGCCAAGGCCAGCCCTGAGAGCCACTGAGCATGCAGGTGTCTGCTTCTAGGGTGGGGGAGGATGTGGGAGAGGGACCCACTGGCTGCATGGTCTCTAAGCCTCAACTCCCTCTGGGCCTGCACCCCAGGAGCCTGATTCTAGACTGGCCGTCTGCTCCTCTGCCCCAGCCCCCTCCAGCCAGCCGTCACCTCAGCTTCTGGCAGGGTTTTCGTTTGTATGTAACAGGGTCAACTCGGGCATCACCTCCTATCCCAGCCCATCTTTGAAAGCCCTCGTCAAGGACAGAGCCCCCAGGCCCAAAAGACATTCTTCCAGGACTGGGGAACTCCCAGTGTTTCTCCCCACATGGTCTAGTGGCACATTTCAGAACCTTGGGGGCAGCACTCTGCTTACTCCCAGCACCCCGGAGCAGCCCCCTCTAGCTTTTCCCAGTACAACACCTCCCCCTAAGTTCCTGGACTTCTCTCCTGTGCCAGCTCTCCCAAGCCTTTTCCACTGTGCATTCTTACCCTTCACCCTTTACATTTCACCCTTCATTTTCACCCTAAGGATCACCAGATCTCCAGGCGCCATGATGAGGATGTATCATGTGTACCCAGCACACACGTGGAATATGTGACATGTTAGAAGATAGGAGTGGGGTCAGGCATAGTGGTCATGCCTGTAATCCCAGCACTTTGGGAGGCCAAGGCAAGCAGATCACCTCAGGTCAGGAGTTCAAGACCAACCTGGCCAACATGGCAAAACCCTGTCTCTACTAAAAATACACAAATTAGCCAGGTATAATGGTTTGGGCCTGTAATCCCAGCTACTTGGGAGGCTGAGGCAGGAGAATCACTTAAACCTGGGAGGCAGAGGTTGCAGTAAGCCAAGACCGCACCACTGCACTCCAGCCTGGGCAACAGGGCAAGACATTGTCTCAAAAAAAAAAAAAAAAGGAAGAAAGAAAATGGGTGGGGGCATGCAGTATACATAGGGACAGCTGTGAGAAACTCCAGCCCTGTAACTATTACATTTAGAAAAACAAGTGCGTAATGGGTGAGATTAGGTCACACAACAACCCTGTAAATGGTAGACAGCCTCTCCAGCCACGCGTTAGAGAGAGGATTTAGGGAATACCTCATCAAAGCAAAATATATCGAGGTTTGGAACGGTCCGTGGGAGAAAAAGAATCTGGAGAAGCAGAACTGGCACGGATGAGAGAGGGAAAGAGCTAAATTCAGGTGCACATAGAATTCAGCTTCACAATTAGGGAAGTGTTCTTTGTAATGGGCAAGGCTGCCCAGGTATAGCTGTGCGGTTTGTGCACCACACAAAAGAACCCAGCCAGGGCTGTGATTTCATTAGGGCGTGAAATGCAGCCATTTGTCCAGTCATACATTTCAGGGCCACATCTGCCAAAACAGGGCAACATTTTCTAACTTCTCAACTTCTCTGCCCAGAAAGTTACATTTTTCTAAATTGCACAGCAGTGTTTTCCGGTCCAGACACAGCCTGGGGCAAGGTAGAGGGGCCAGTGGTCCCCTGAGTCTCAGCACAGCCTGGATAAACCTCTTCTGCGGCTTCAGTCTCCCCTTCTCTGCTGTCATGGAGCCAGGCAGTATCGTGAACCTCTTTTCTCTTCCCACGGAGACTTGCCTACTGGGTGAGAATACTTTTGATCAGCAAGGGCAGGCTTCTGTCTCCTTCATGGATGGATGTAACTCTCATGAAGTATGGAGTTGGCTTTCAGGTCTTCTCGGTCCCTTGTTAGTTTGGTTGCTGTTGGAGTCAGAGATTATTTGGCTGGAAGGAAAAGAAATCCACCCAACCCCAGTTGCAGGAAATAGAGCCAGGCTCCGCTACCCATAGGAAGTCACCAGCCACTCCTTTTTCTTTCTCTCTTTCTCAGCCCTCTAGTTCCTAGTTCCTCTTCCTGCTTCTCTCTGTTCTGCCCTGTTCTTCATCTGCCACACTTAGATCCTGCTCTCCTCAATTTCAATGTACTGGGTGACCTTGGGTAGCCACAGTGGCAAGTTTTGCTCCGCCTACTTAGGACCCAATGGCTCCAGTGCTCAGCAACATCGAAGTGGAGTTTCTGTGCCTCTTACCTCCAGTTGGTGGGGTGCCCTGACTAGTCCTCCCCAGTAGGGCTTGGCAACAAAGTCACCTCATCCAAATATGGCCATTTAAGTCCTCTTCCATCAGTGCCAGCTAGGCAGTGGTATGGGAGTAGGGGAGGAGACACTTCCAAAGAACAAGGTATGGGTGGCTGGCACCACAAAGGGACCATCACATTTACTGTGAGCCCAGTAAGTGACTTCCATGTGCCCTGATGGTGCAAGATCTCGTTTTGGTGACTACAACATGGACGTGGGGACCAGGCCTCAAGGTGAAGTGCTCTTGGATACTTTGCTGCTCTGAGACCCTGACAGGTCAGGCTGCCAGCTTCCATAAGAAATCCTTAATCCATAAAGAAAATGGCAACCTTGTGAGTTTTTCAAAATTCTTTTTTACTTGCCTTTTTTGCATATAAATAATTTATTTATAAAGGGGGAAATTGTTTTGTTTTATAGAAAAAGTTGGCACAGGCCATTATAACTATACTGTTTATTCATGAAGGTTTGTGGGAGGAAGGTGGGCCTCATTCATTTAAAAATAAAAATATTGGCCGGGTGTGAGGGCTCATGCCTGTAATCCCTGCACTTTGGGAAATGAGGCAGATGGATTACCCAAGGTCAGGAATTCGGGACCATCCAGCCTGATCAACATGAAATGGCATCGCTACTAAGAATACAAAAATTAGCCAGGCATGGTGGCGCATGCCTGTAATCCCAGCTACTTGGGAGGCTGAGGCAGGAGAATCGCTTGAACTCAGGAGGTGGAGGTTGTAGAGAGCCAAGATCACACCACTCTACTCCAGCCTGGGCAATGAACAAAACTCCATCTTTAAAAAAATAAATAAGTATATAAATAGAAATATTTTTGTAACAATACAGAGGGGGAGAAAGCAGCTTGTGAAGTGAATTAGTGTGATTCTTCAAATGGACACTTTCCATTGCTCACCAAGTTTTTTCTTATTGACTCTTTCTGTAGAAGTAATTCAGAATCACACATACCATACCTATGTATGGATTATTTCGGCATCTAGGTTCTGTTCCTGTTCATGCAAAAACAAAAGAGGAGCTAGAGGTGACATGGGAGAAGATGAGTAAGTCCAAACACAACGGGGTGGACCCAGAGGAAGTCGTGGAGCAGTATGGGATTGACACGATCCGGCTCTACATCCTTTTTGCTGCCCCTCCCGAGAAGGATATCTTGTGGGATGTGAAGAGTAAGTCTCCTTCCTCTCCCTGACCTGCTTCCTTTGTGATGTGCCCTGGACTTTGAAGGAACTTGAGGAAGGAAATGTCTCTGCTGAAGACAGTCGTAGAGAGTTCTAGGAATCAGTTCCACAGCGCAAGTAGCAGCTTGACCAGCCTCCTGCACCACTCTTAAATGGGTATTGACAAACGTTAAGCGAGCCTCAGAATCATCTGGGAAACATGTGGCAGGTGCAGATTCCCAGTGCTCCCCCCATGCCTGCTGACACAGCCTCCAGGGTGGGGCCCAGGACGTGGCCTTTGAATAAGCTCAGCATCGATTCTGGTGCACACTCTACAAGGACCACGCTTTGACAGTGGTTCCCCCGGAGACAGACTGGCTTCTGAGCTACACTCCTAGGCCTGCTATAGTCCAAAGAGGCCAGTTCCCTCTTTCTTAATGTACCCTGGAGGGTTTTTTCTAGAATAGTGTCATTCTCCCTCACCAATCCAGAAAGCCCCGGGAGGGGCCTGGGCCTGGTGTTACCTGTGGTCTCTTTGTCACCCACAGCACCCTCCATCTCCCCGCTTAGAGGAGATTTGTCTCTCCAGAGTTGTTTAGCGCTAAAATGACATGAAGTAAAATAATCCTGGGTATCTGGCTATTCTAGAATAAACCGTCCAACAATCATTCATTTTTACTTCTTGTGATCTGCCCTAAGTGTTGTTGTGGGAAGAGGAAGTCAGATGCCTGGAATCTTGAGCCTTGTGTGAAGTATGCATGTCGTTTGAGAAATCACTGTTTTTGTTTACTTTGATGTACTGTGGCTAGTGGGAAGTGTGGTCTGGAACAGTGGTCACAAATGCCAGTCCTAGAACTAGTGGCCTCAGAATCACTGGGGATCTTGCAAAGCACAGACCAGTGGAGGTTCTGGCTCCCACCCCTAACCCAGGGGACAGGCTCCAGGAATCTTTCTAAGAAGGCTCCCAGAAGGTTCTGCTGTGCATCCAGGCTTGAGAATGCCTAGCCCAGTGGCCAAAGAGTACAAGGCCCTGGACTGACCCCAATTGCGCTACTGGTGTAACCCAGATCAGATCGGCAGCTAGATTGGATGAGCTTGTGTGAAATACGGAAAACACACATACCTACAAGGACAGGGGTTATGTCAAAGCATTTCACACTGTACAGCAGCATGGCTGCAGCACAGTTGTGCCATCCATGAGATGAGAGTTTGCACCAGCAGGAGTCAACAGTGTCTCCCAAGCACCATGTTAGCTCCACAGCGCTTTCATCACAGCAAGCTTGCTTAATCAGGGTGGCAGGGCACCAGGGCTCATCTTGACCAAACCTCTGAGCTCATGGCAGTTTGTGGGTGGCACTCTGAGTGGCCCTGCCATCCAGTGCTCTAAATCTGGGCACTAAAATAAGATGGAATTGATCCTGGTTTGAATTCTCAGATACTGAAAGCCAAGGAGAATCCTTCAGCCTGCCCTCAGATGAATCCATAAGGGTACAGGGAAGTGTCACATCAATTCACAGGCGTTTTCTCTGCTCAGTCATACCAAGTCAATCACCCGTATGTTGTGCTCTCTCTCTTTCTCATTTACTGGTGCTGAATTCAGCTGACGCTCTCCCTGGGGTGCTGAGATGGCAACAACGGCTGTGGGCCTTGACAACTCGGTTTATTGAGGCCAGGGCTTCTGGGAAGGCTCCCCAGCCTCAGCTGCTGAGTAACAAGGAGAAAGCTGAGGCCAGGAAGCTCTGGGAGTACAAGAACTCCGTCATCTCTCAGGTCAGAAACTCTCCCATTCCAGTGGTTAACTCCATAACCAAGCACTCTTTGGGAGCCTTTGCCTGTGGTCCTTGCAGGCCGCCCTGCCTTGGGGTGGGTCACTGTGCGTCTTCTTTCTTCCTGGTGATGGTGGTCCTTTTTGCTTGGATTGATTGACCCTACTGTTTTGGGTACTTTACCAAGGTGGATCCCCAATGTGTACGTTTTAATAGAAAGAGATGCCCTCAGGAAATGGCTCTCTGATGATGACTCATATTTGTCCCTCCTGGGTCTCAGGAAGCTGTCGCTTTCCATGTTTCCATATTTAACACATCCAAACAGAGAACCAAATCCAGGATCACCCTGTCATCCAGGATGACGCCATATATGTTACGTTAACAGAAAGGGGCATTGGGAGACTATCCTCTGTAGCTTCCTCACTGTGTAGATGGGGACAGAGATGAGGCCCAGATATCTTGCCTAAAGTCACACAGCCAGGGGAACTGAGCAGAGATTAGAATCCAAGTCCCCCACATAGCAGGGACTTTCCCACTCAGTCACTTTGTTACACAATATCCATGTGAGTTATGGGGGTTAATTTCTGCAAATCTGAAGTCATTGTAATGGGTATCTGATATCCCAAATTCTTCCTAAGCTGATTAAAAAAAAAAATGGTATGCTGATTCAGACATAAAGTTAACCAGAGTCACTCATCTGCACTCTGACACTGAAGACACTGGTGCATGGCAGGCTTTTTGCCTCTCTGGTTCGTATAACCTGAAGTGGCCCTGGCTCCAGCATGACCTCATTTGTGACACTTCTTCAGCCTCATTTCTGTCCTCTGTACCCCTCTGTGTGGAGGAACAGACCTCCCTGAATGAATGTAGGGCTCTGAGTGATGTCTGAGCGATTGGGTTTTTACCACGTATTTTCTCCCTAGATTTGGCAAATTCTTCTATTTTGTCAGATAATAGAATTGGGTTACTTCAACAAGTTGGAAACTCTTGACATCTTAAAGATGTGTTACTTTTCTGTATTCTTCCCCATAGTCAAAGTGGAGAAGCACACAAACCTGAAAAAGCTGACAAGTTATGTTAATGTTCTTATGCTGACTCTACTTTCAAAATGTAACATGAACCTTATCCCCTAGACTAAAAACGTCATTGTGAAGCGAAGTCACATAACCATGCAGAAGTGACTCCTTTCCTCTTGTTTTCTGTTATGTGGAGTTTGCCCATCAGTGGGTCCTGACTCCTAATCATGTTACTAGCATTGTATTATTTTTGTTTGTTTTTTGTTTTGTTTTGTTTTGTTTTGAGATGGAGTCTCACTCTGTTGCTCAGGCTGGAGTGCAGTGACAAAATCTCGGTTCACTGCAACCTCTGTCTCCCAGGTTCAAAGGGATTCTTCTGCCTCAGCCTCCCAAGTAACTGGGATTACAGGTATGTGCCACCACACCCAGCTGATTTTTTGTATTTTTGTAGTAACGGTGTTTCGCCATGTTGGCCAGGCTGGTCACAAACTCCTGACCTCAAATAATCTACCCGCCTCAACCTCCCAAAGTGCTGGGATTACAGGCATGAACCACCATGCCGTGCCCAGCCACTAGCACTGTGTTTCTAAGCACCTACTATAAGAACCAACAGTATCCCAGATAAAACAGTGGAAACAGTGTTGACTTTGAATTTTAAAATGTTTGTGCAGGTGAAACATAGCGGTTATTTGAGGTAGTGGATATATTTATAAATATATTTGCTTTCAATTAATTTTCCTTTTTTATTTTGATGATTCAGTCTTTTTGTGGAAAGCTTAAAAGAATTTTGTGGCCGGGCATGTTGGCTCACACCTGTAATCCCAGCACTTTGAGAGGCCAAGGTGGGCGGATCACAAGGTCAGGTGTTCAGCACCAGCCTGGCCAACAAAGTGAAACCCCGTCTCTGCTAAGAATACAAAAAAAAATTACCTGGACGTGGGCATCTGTAGTCCCAGCTACTCGGGAGACTGAGGCAGGAGAATCACTTGAACCCAGGAGGCAGAGGTTGCATTGCAGTGAACTGAGATCACGGCACTGCACTCCAGCTTGGGTGACACAGTGAGACTCTGTCTCAAAAAAAAAAAACAAAACCAGAAGAATTTTGAAAGAAGTGAATAATTGAACCTTTACCAATAGGTGACCACCCATTTCACAGAGGACTTCTCACTGAATTCTGCGATTTCTCAGCTAATGGGACTCAGCAGTACCCTCTCGGTAAGTGGCCTATCCTCCTTTGCTGGTAGCAGAGGAGGGAGGGAGAGGTGTGGCAAGGGGCTCTGTAGGGTCCCAGGAGGGACAGAGAGCAGCCCCACTATGTCACCACCTCAGTGTGGCTTGATTATCTTAAATATTTTTCCATAATCACAACCTAGTTTTATTGCTGGAAGGTTCTTAAAGATTTCTGGTCCAAACCCCTTTCTCCCCCAATATTTTACAGATGAGGACATTGAAGCCCAGGGAAGTTAGATGACATGTCTAGTTGATTAGTGACAAATCTGGGACCAGACTCAGGCCTCCCGTCTTCTGGCTCTTTGTGCCCCTGCTGTCTGATTTCCTGAATGAATTGTGATACCTTCTCAGCGTTGTTACATTTGATATTCATTTAACCTGGATGGATCAGGATCGTTCTCACCAGTACCAAAAATCAGCCTTTTCATATGGCCTCTTTTCTTGCAATGTGTCACTGCCATTTTTCTTGCTAGGGAGAGGATTTATCAACAAGTGTTCTTAGCTCTTAGGCAACAAAAGCATTCATTAACGCTATTAACAAATGCTTTTTTAAAATGAAGCCCTCTCCAAGCTTTTAAGACAGGTAGGGGCCAGGTACGGTGGCTCATGACTGTAATCTCAACACTTTGGAAGCCCAAGGTGAGAGGATCACTTGAGGCCAGGAGTTCAAGACCTGCCTGGACAACACAGAAAATAAAATAATTAGCCAGGCGTGGTGGCGTGTGCCTGTAGCCAGCCAGGAAGCTGAGGCAAGAGGATCGCTTGAACCCATCCTGGGCAACAGAGCAAGAGACCCTAAAAGTAAAATAAAAGTCTCTAAAAGTAAAATAAAAAAGGTAATTTTTTAAAAGCAAAATAAAGATAAAAAAGAACAATGGAAGAAATTTACAAATTTGACTACATAAAACTTGACATTTTCAGTATATTAAAAAAATTACAACATGTCAGACAGAAGTTTAATATCCTTAATAGATAAAGTACTCTTGCATTTTAATATGAAAATAACAAAAAATGGTCAAGGCATAGGAAAAGATAATAACTCACAGAAAACGATATAGAAATGGCCAGTAAATTTATGGAGAAAAAATATTGCCTCTTTATTTATCATGAAAGGCAAATGTAAAACAAGATGCTATTTTTTTTTAACCTGTCAATGCATTGCTGAGAATGCTTTAACATAACTATTCAGGGCCAGGCACAGTGGCTCAGGCCTGTAATCCCAGCACTTTGGGACGTCGAGGCAGCAGGATCGTTTGAGCAGGAGTTTGAGATCAGCCTGGGCAACATAACAAGACCCCATCTATAAAAGACTTAAAAATTAGCCAAGTTTGATGGCATTTACCTATAGTCCCAGCTACTCAGGAGGCTGAGGCAGGTGGGTCCCTTGAGCCCAGAAATTGAGGTTGCAGTGAACTATGATGGCACCACTGTACTCAGGCCTGGGTGACAGAGCAAGACCCTACCTCAAAAACGTAAAAATGTAACTATTCTCCATGCTATTGAAAAGATGGCAAAACAGATTTTTACACACCAATGCGACAGGTGTGGTTGTTCTAACCTTGCCAGGAAGCACTCTGGCTGTCAGGTTGCTTGTGTTATATCCTCTGATCCAGGAGTGTTCATTGCAGATAATTTATAATCACAGAGACTTGAAACCCCAAATGTCCTACGATGGAGGAATTGTGAAATTACTGATGTCCTATCAATAAGAAGGGAATGTGCCACCACCATTAACATCATGTCTTCCAAGAATACTTAATATCAGAAACTGTTTATAATGTAATGTTAAGTAAAAACACATGACACAAGGCCCGGCGCGGTGGCTCACACCTGTAATCCCAGCACTTTGGGAGGTTGAGGCAGACAGATTGCTTGAGGTCAGGAGTTCAAGACCAGCCTAGTCATCATGGTGAAACCCTGTCTCTACTAAAAGTACAAAAAATTAGCCGGGTGTGGTGGCACATACCTATGGTCCCAGCTACTCAGGAGGCTGAGGCAGGAGAATTGCTTGAACCAGGAGGTGGAGATTGCAGTGAGCTGAGATCACACCACTGCATTTCAGCCTGGGCAACAGAGAGAGGCTCTTCTCTAAAAAAAAAAAAAAAAAACAAAAGCGTTCATATGAACTGGGAACTGTGTGCAGTGGTTCACACCTGTAATCCCAGCATTTTGGGAGGCCAAGGCAGGCAGATGACTTGAGCCCAGGAGTTCGAGACCAGCCTGAGCAACATAGTGAGACACGCCATCTGTATATAAAAATAATTTAAAAAAATTTTTTTTAAAAAGTGTTCATGGCCGGGCACGGTGGCTCACGCCTATAACCCCAGCACTTTGGGAGGCCGAGGCGGTTGGATCACGAGGTCAAGAGATCGAGACCATCCTGGTCAACGAGGTGAAACCCTGTCTCTACTAAAAATACAAAAATTAGCTGGGCGTGGTGGTGTGCGCCTGTAGTCCCAGCTACTCGGGAGGCTGAGGCTGGAGAAATGCTTGAACCCAGAAGACAGAGATTGCCGTGATCCGAGATCACGCCATTGCACTCCAGCCTGGGTAACAAGAGCGAAACTCCGTCTCCAAAAAAAAAAGTGTTCATATGGTAAGAATCCCAATCCTGAAAATGTTACATGTATAATAAGCATCTACATACACATTTTTACATTTTTGGAGACAAGGATAAAATATACCTTTGTTTCTAGGTTGTATCATGAGCAGTTTTTTTTTGTTTCCTCTATTTTTTGTGGGGTGTGTGTGTCAGTTTTTTAATCAGAAAAAGTAAGGCAAGAAACTGCTTTACTTTTATTCCATTCTGGAATTTGGGAAGTCCTTAATAATAACACGCAGCGCTAAACCCAGTCATGTTTGCTGGAATTGGCCAAAGGTGTTAAAAGAATAGGGGTCCCTGAGTAGGGTAGAGCGCCCCCCTGCCCAGGATGTTTCACAGTTTAATACCTTTGAGCAGGTCTCTGCATATCTCCGTGGACCTGCAGCACAGAGGAAACCTAGCAGAGTGGTTAAGAGTTTGGTTGCAGTGTGCACGGGCACAGACTCCCTTCCTCGCTGATATTTAGCTGCTTCATCTATCCATTGGGGTAAGAATACCACCCTTGAAGAGTAGTGAGGATTAAATAAGTTAACATCAGATGAGGGCATAGTAAATATTCTGGATAGTAATGTATTTGTTATTGCTGCTGCTATAGCTTTGTTTTGTTTTGTTTAGACAGGGTCTCACTGTTGCCCAAGCTTCAGTGCAGTGGTGCAATCATAGCTCACCGCAGCTTTGACCTCCTGGGCTCAAGTGATCCTTTCACTTCAGCCTCCCAAGTAGCTGGGACTGTAGGTGGGCACAACTATACCTGGCTAATTTTTGTTTCTTAAAAAATTTTTTCATAGAGATGAGGTCTTGCTATAGTGCCCAGGCTGGTCTCAAATTCTTGGGCTCAAGTGGTCCTCCTGCCTTGGCCTCCCAAAGTACTGGAGTATAGGCATGGACCACCAAATTTGGCATGCTGTAGTTTATCTTAGTGCTGTCATTAAGTAGGGAAGTTCTTTGTCCCAAGCAGAAATGGATGGCGAATGGCAAAGGGGGTTTCTTCCTACCAGCTTGTGTCTCTGGACTTTCAGATACATTAATGGTCTTCCTTAACCCTGCTTATTTTTACACCTTAGTCTTCTTACATTTTTTTTTTCTCTTCCTTAGCAAGCCTCTCAGAGAGTCCTTCTCCATAGCCCCGAATTTGAGGATGCTCTGTGTGCCCTGATGGTGATGGCTGCTCCAATGGCCCCTCATATAACGTCAGAGATCTGGGCAGGTACGTAGCAGAGTCCTTGTTTGACAAGTTACTACTAACTCAAATTTGCCCAGGCCTCTTTCTGAACATTGTTTGGGACTCAGATGTCCTCAGACATAGGGTCCAACATTTGGGAGCTCTACTCAGTGACTTCTCTGTCCTGTACTCCGAATGGTGGTACGCCGTCGACATGGTCACCCCTACCAAAAGGAAAGACACTTCCCTGCTTTGAATAATGCGCCCAGACTAATGTGGGTGTTGATGTTTCCACTTTAATCCCTTCTCGTGACTCTGCCACCCAGTATCCACTTATTATGACCTGCATGATCTTTTTCAGATAGAAACTCATGTTTACTACCACTTTACAGATGGAAATTAAGTTACAGGTCTAAAATGTACTTGCTTATACTGTAATTCAGCAGTCTTCACAAATTATTCCTAAACTAGGCATCAAAGCAGGCCTGACTGGCTGTTTGAATTTCAGCCCTGGAACTCTGTCCACATCATTGGAACTGTTAGCCTGGACAAAACTGGACTTCACATAATCATCACATTAGGCCAAGCACATAGGGAGGGGCAAAATGACATGTAATTGAGCTCCTGAAGGAACATGCATGGGAAAGTCTTCAGATGTTTCTAGAAACAGGTCATCTGAAATGCATGTGATTTGGCAGTTCCATTTATGTAAAACATTTCTTCTAAAAAAAAGGTCTCTCCTAATTAAATGTACTGATGTGGTGTCACAGAGAAGAAATTCATGTTGATCAGTTGAGCAAACCCTGAGTCTCAGTGTAAGCTGAGATAAGAAGAATTTGAGGATGATTTGAAATTCCCACCACCCAAGCAGCTTTATGCCTACAGCAGATGGGTAGAAATTACAGTTGGATTTATAGTTGACAGAGTAGTGCCTGCGTCTCTCACAAAGCCTTGTTTATTGCCTTCTACTTTAAAATGTAGTGCTCCTTGTTGATTTGAGGGAAGCATTGGGAATTGGGCACTACCGTCTCCCTCAAAGTTGCTTCTTAATTTCTCAGGAGAAGCAGCAGTTCCTTTTTCTTTTTAGCTAAAATGAGACTGTTACTGTTCCAGGGTCCCCTTTTTTACAGTATAAGTGTCTCTGTCAAAAGGAAGTGTTTTTCATCTCTTAAGGAAGGGAGGAGCTGTTTAATTTGCTTTCGTTGTAAACCCATGAACTTAGTTTGGATTTTTATCCTTTTTGATATCTAAAGCCACTTTAAAATTAAACTGTTCCAGCCAAATATTGAAGTTCATGCAGTAGGATGATTTGCCAGCCAGTTTTTTGTTTATGTACCATATCTATAACTTCTGATTTTAAGTATCAACCAAAAAAGTGGAAAGGGGTTTGGAAATGTCCACATCAGGAACTAACCCTAAAAACCGGGTAAGGATTTGGATGGGTCTGACTCTGAAGTTTCCTTTGCATTCATTCTCTGCTGCTTGCAAGACTGAATCAAGGTCCAGTTTACTTTAGCAGGAAAGAGACATGGTGTAGCTTCCAAAAGATTCTGCCCTACTTTGTGTGCTTTAAGACATCCCCGTTGAGTGCAAGTATATTGCATTGTGTCTTAAGTCCTCTTCTGGGTCTTTCCAGTTATCCTTTTAGTTACCCTTTTTTAACCATGCTTTTGTGACCCCTGGCCCCCTCCGACAGTTGGCTTCATTGGAAGAGGTCAGAGAGGCCTGAGTTAAGTCTGAATTCTGTAATGAATTTTTGTCTTTCCATTCTGGAATTTGGGGAGTCCTTAATAATAGCATGCAGCGCTAAACACAGCAATGGTTTAAATACTGCCTACCAGTCAGTATCGGATGCCTCTTTCATAGGGGTTGCAATTTAAGTGACAGTGAAGTAGTGTGCAACTGGTTTAAAGTAGGAGTGGAAGGAGGAGGAGGGGGGGGGGGGGGAGGAGGAGGAGGAGAAGGCAATTATAAGGACCTAATGAGTTGAGCAAGGTTTTAAGCGTAAAGACAAAGGAGGTGAAGAGAGGTGGGGAGAACTGGAATGCATTTGCAGTGGATCTACAAGGGAGACCGTTTTTAAGTTTCTCACATTTTGAATCTTTAAGGGAGGTAATTTTTGAATCTCAGTTGTGTTTAGAAACCTCATTATACCAATTAGAGAAAGCATACCATTGGATAGAGAGAATCGTTTCATCCTTTTTGTCCAAAGGAAGCTCTCAAATGAACAATTTTGTTCATATCAAAAGTTCCCCAGAGTGATCACTGTCATTCCAAATTGTCTTTGGAAATTTGTGGCACTTGAAAAGATACGCACAGGACTTAGCACTCTAATTAGAAAACATAAAGAAAGCCTGTGCTTGCGCCAGAGGAGGCACAGTTTTAGATTGAGGAAGCACAGTTTTAGATTGAAAAGGCCAAGACCCCACGAGAGCTGCAGCACATCCCTGGGTGGGTGCTTGTGGAATTTGGGGTCTTGGTGCTTCATCAGAGTCATGTCATCAATGATCAGGAGTCAGACAAAGCCTCCTGATTATGGGCGGACAAAACTAAAAAGCACGAGGAACACAAGAACAAGACGAGAAAGAAGTCATTGTAAGGTTTTACAGTGGTAACTCAGCGCACAGTGCGTCTCCAAGAAGTAACATACTGACCACTCCACCGCTAATGCCAGCTTAAGGACACACTTACGGGACTTATTACTGTCCTCTCCCAATAGACAGACAACATTCAAGATAGTCCACAAGCAGATAGACAGACAGGTCATTAGGCCAGCAGGTGTTAGTTGCTAGAAAACAGTTTCACCAAAGAACAGTAGAATCTGATCAGAAAACCAAATGTCCAAAGTGGGACCTATTCCTAAGAAAATAAGATAAATGCAACACCAAAAGCTTCAGGGAAATCCTGGAGCTCAATTCAGCATGAACTTAGTTCCCAGCCAAGGGTGAGTGGCACCTCAACCCTGTAGAGACACAAGGGGGTCTCAGATGCATGCACTGTTTCTGAGTCAAGGGCTCCAGTCAAAGGCAGTGAGGGTCTCAGTTGAAATTCCATGAGCCTGCAATTCTATCAGCGTCCTCCAACCAGAGACCACCAGGAACACACCTTCAGATAACAATTTGGATTTATTACCATGGCGAGACATAGGGCATCTCTGTAAGAGGGTGTTAGGAAGGACCTGTTATATAATGAATTTGGGCTTTGGTTGAATAATTTGGGGAAGGGTCTCAGGAAGTGAAGATTTGCTCTAGATTGAGTGCTGTCAGAAAGTGGGGACAGTTTTATGATTAGGTATCTTAAGAAATGTTACCTCTAGGGAGGTATCCCTGAGCAAAGATAAAGTTGTAATTAGTAAAGAAATAGCAGTCACCCGTATTTGCCTAGAGAAGGGGATGTTTGATACTGTGTGTTTCACGGTCACCATGTTTTTGCCTGTGCTTAGACAAAACTACGACATGGTATTTTTTGGTCTCC